TGAAATAATTGTTTTGGTGATCTTCACCCTGTATTTCATAGAAGGGAACCTCACTAGACCCGTATGGTCTAACCCTCATTTTCTGTTTTAAATTATGCAATGCAGGAATAACTGGGTCGGGGGATGTAAAAGGGAAAATGTGATTATTTTTTCTAGTCTTTTGCCTGCTTTTGAAGATGCATGTTATATTACATGTAGTAGTACAGGATTTGTTTTGGAAATTTTTATATGTCAATTTTGTACATATAGTAATCCTTGTACTAGTGGGACCGTTTGATGTAATCCATGTTTCTATGTAATGAAATATGTGTTCTATGTAAATCTGGTATTTGGGGCGTTACATTTTTTGATGAAGTTGTTTCATATATGGTTATAAAATTGTTTCATATAGTATTTAATGAAACTGTTTCATTTATTTCTTTAAAATTAAAATAATAAAGATGATAATATCCGTGATTAACACCCTGCACAATAAAAAAGATTAATCAACCTCTCATAATTACAAAAAATTAACAAAATGATAAATTATGATTGATTGAATGAAGTTTGTACGGTTTGTACTAATAACGTGGTTTGCAAAGTAAATCTACTCTCTCTCTCTTTCTCTCTTTGTATATATATATATGTGTGTGTGTGTGTGTGTGTGTGTGTGTAGAGCGAGAGAGGGGAGGGAACCCTCTTTTGAGAACCCATAAAATTTTGATAACTTTGAGAACTAGTGCATCATATACTACTTTTCCATATGATTTTTTCTCTTCTAAAACTTGGATTTAGAATATTGATCAATATATGTTTGTTCCATAATATGTTTGTTTCCTAATTTGAACCTTTTTAGAATGTTTGAAATAAAAGTTACACGTAAAAAAAGTTTTACATTTTAAACTGCATACATATGAAGCAAACACATTATGAAACAAATATATCTATATCTATACTATGTTATAAAACATTTGACAAAAACTCTTAAAACCCACTTTTCATACGTATAGTACTGTTTATTAATGCATATTACTTAAAACTCAAGATTGCAAGTAGATTGTGCGTAACTACAACTTATTAAATCTTCATATCTGAATTCGTGTAACTAACTG